AGCGTTTGAAGCTTCTGTAATAGTTGCATATGAGTCCCTCAGTTGTCCTCAGTGTGAAAAGATGCATCTCAAAATCATACAGTCACTGCTGGAAAGGGTTCAAATACACAGAAATGCTGGAAAACCAAAGAATTTGTGGGAGCTGAAGGATTTTTCTGAAGAACAGCAGGCAGTTTAACTGTTCAGGAAAAACAAGGGACTCATGAACAACTATCACTAAACACAAAAACACAGCTGTGGATCATTCAGGTAACAACACAGTATTAAGAATCAATTGGATGTAATGTCTTAGTATGTTTTGGGAGTTCGCAAGTTAGTTGGTTAGGAATCTTTATTTTTAACCTGGTTGATTAAAGTTTACCAACTAACTAACTTGCAAACAATACTAAGGCATTATGACGGTCCAAAAATCAATTGTATAAATATCAGTCTAATCAAAATGATCCTATCTGATCCATCAGTGTACCATTACAGTACATCTTTGTAGCCCCTCAGCTGTCTAGTTATTCCAAGCTTGTGTTTCATTTCCTGTGTTTAGACGGCAGAAACTCTAGCAAAAGTGTTTCCTGATGAGACCGAGTCTGTTCGCGTGCCGCTGCGGGATAAGTACACGTCGCTGGTGCAGAGACTGAGACCCATGATAGTGCCAGACACCTTGACACCAGGCAAGAGCTGCTTTAAGGAATATCTCACCCAGAATGATGGCTCTTTCCTTTGTTGGGAAAGCAGAGCATCTGGTCACTGCTTCAGCCCCTAAGCAGATGTGCTCATGTTCACAGATGTGCCGCCAGGAAGCGATAGGGAAGATGAGGGTGGTGATACCATGATGATTCTGATCCAGGATCAGCTGAGGCAGCGACGCCGGGAGCTTCGGCGCCTGGCAAAGTACCTGGGCGCACCGGAGCCATACCTGTGGGAGAGAGAGGAGGAGGAGGACAGGGGAGGTGCTGCCTCCATACTGAAGCGCCTCTCTCTCGGGACTAGTTTGAGTGACAGCACGCTGACGGACTGTGGACGCCCCCTAGTGTACAGTGAAGGAGACACAGCCGAGACGCTGTCGGAGCCTCTTTCCCCAGAGCTGCAGACCAAATCTGCACACAGGTAACTCTGATAGTGTACTGCATACTGTATACTTATTTTTGTGCAAATATTATGTGAAACAGTATGCATGTGTTGTATACTGCACATTTGGGCAAATGTAGCAGGTCATCCACATTGTAAAAATATTTTTTTGTAAACGAAACAAAGATTATTGAAGTACATTTTACAAGAAAATACTATTTCAGTCTTTCTACTTCAAAATTTCAAGTTTAATTCAATGCGTTACTTGCCGTTTCTTTGTAATTATTTATGACGGTTTCTGAGTGAAAATTGTTTCAAAGTAAATCCTGTACAAAATGTTTTAATAAACTTATTAGTAGTTTTTTTTAAATATTTAGTGTTTAGAATTCTTGAAGAGTTAGTTAGTAACCTTTATTTAACCAGGTTAAAAACAAAGGCTACTAACTAACTAAATTGTTAGTAGTTTTTTAGGACGTTTTTTAGTTTTTTAACCTTGATTTCACCAGGTTAAAAGTAAAGATCTGTCTAATTGACAATATCTAATAAACATTATTACTAGGCAATTTACAATGTTACATGTTTCGGACATGTACCAGTGTAATGTTTTAGTATTCTTTGAAATTTTGTTAGTAACCTTTATTTAACCAGGTCAAAATATAGGTTACTAACTAACTTGTTCGTTTTTTTGGACATGTACCATTGTTATTTATTTTATTTTTTTTGGTAGTTAGTCAGTAACATTTATTTAACTAGGTTAAAATAAAGGTTACTAACTAACTAAATATTTAAATAACTAACATGTTAGTAGTGTTCTGCACATGTACCATTATAATGTTTTAGTTTTTGTTTGAGAGTTAGTAAGTAACCATTATTTAACCAGGTTAAAATATAGGTTACTAACTAACATGTTAGTAGTTTTTTGGACTTGTACCATTGTAATATTTTACAATTATTTGGTAGTTAGTTAGTAACATTTATTTAACTAGGTTAAAATAATGGTTACTAACTAACTGATCGACTAACTAACTAACTAACTAACATGTTAGTTGTTTTTTTTAGTGTAATATTTTAGTATTATTTGGGAGTTAGTTAGTAACCTTTATTTTAACCAGGCTAAAATAAAGGTTTCTAACTAAATAAACAATTAAATAACTAACTAACATGTTAGTAGTCTTCTGCACATGTACCATTGTAATGTTTTTTTGTGTTTTTTGAGAGTTAGTAACCTTTATTTAACCAGGTTATAATAAAAGTAACTAACTAACATGTTAGTAGTTTTTTGGACTTGTTGTAATATTTTAGTATTCTTTGGGAGTTAGTAACCTTTATTTAAACAGGTTATAAAGGTTACTATCTAACTAACATATTAGCAGTTTCTTGTTTATGGTTCTTAGTATTCTTTGGGAGTTGGTAACCAGGTTAAAAATAAAGATTACTATCTGTATAACTAACATTATATAATACACACAGTAGTTTTCTGGACATGTACTATTGTAATATTTTAGTATTCTTTTGGAGTTATTTAGTAACCTTTATTTAACCAGGTAGATTTTTTTTCAGTGCAAGTATTTTGTACTGAACATATCAAATTTATGTTCTATTCCCGGTATGCATAGTGCATACTTCAAACATAGTTTGAGTAGTAGGCCATTCTGAACTTGTTTTGAATGGCTTGAGCTAATTAATGTGTGAATATGGTAAACTTACGGTAAACTCTTTCTTGTGTTTGTAGTTCTAAGACAGCGACATTTCTGGATGCACCTGAGAAATCAACACAAGAAAGAAAAGGAGATAAAAGATCAGGCACAGTGGAACCCAAAGCACCAGACTCGACTGTACCCGCAGTGGGAACCTGGGAGTTTGAGCTGGAGGATGAGGAGTACACGCTCTTTCTAGATTTGTTCCTCAGCTACATGCTGGGAAAAGACAGACTGGACGCTGAGGGGTCCGAGCTGCCTTTACTGAGTGCTTTCTCACAACAGCTCCGTACTAGAGAGCTGCACTCGGTGACCTTTGACATGCTGACCACTCTCAAACGCCGTCAGAAGGATCGGAAACGAAGTGCGCAGTTACCACTCTTCCATGCCGGTCACTGCTTCCAAACTCTCCCGGCTACTCCCAGACCTCCAGACCTTCAGTCCGACATTCATTCTACGTCCCCTTGGGCTCTTCCTGGACTCCATACTGGGAAACATCAAGGTCTTTTTGCCCTTCGTCGACATGCTGCCTTAATGTCCAAAGACGTTAAAGTAAATTCGATTGGCACAGACGTCGAGTCAACAGGCTTTAAGATCCTCTCTCAGGCTGAATTAGATGTTCAGATGGAGCTGGACTCCTCTCTCGAGGCCCGGTTTCCTCAGCTGGCCCGGCTGCTGGAGTGGATGATGCGCTGGGCCGACAGGCGGGTTCTGCTCTCTCAGCCAATCAGAAAGACCTCAGAGGGCTCCGGTGATTCGGTGGTCATCAGGGTCAACGCCTCGACCCCTGCAGTGCTGACAGCGCTGGAGCTGCTAAAGCGTAGGTACAGCGCCGCCCTGCTGGGAGAAAACTCAAATCACTCCCATACTGCGGTAAGGATGCATTTTGAGATGTAGTGATTTAAATGAAGCTGTTATTCCATATTCTCACAAATTCAGAACAGATGGGGTGTCACGTGCCTGTTTAAATTTTAATGGGTCAGCAGTGTCAGTGCAAAGTCATTCAAAGACAAAAACTATTTGAAAATGGTAGAAGCGTAAGACAGGTTAGTCTGGTTGCAAAGTTTTAATAAATAAATCAATTTTTATTTTAAAAATTTACTTTTTTTAAGTTTTACAAATAAATAAATAAAAATAAAGATAAATCAATAAAATAATAATAATTATTAATAATAATTAATGTGAATAAATATTTTTTTTGATTTGTATTTTCGTGTTATTTTTATTTTTGTCAGTATTTTATGTATGTGTGTGTGTGTGTGTGTGTGTGTGTATATATATATATATATATGTGTGTGTGTGTGTGTGTGTGTGTGTGTATATGTGTGTTATATTTTAAATCAAATTTATTTAAACAATGAGAATAAATAATAAATGAGAATAATAAAACAAATGTCTTTTAGTTTTTTCCCATTTTTGTTTATTGACTATCTTTGTGGCCTCACATCAACATCAGTGTTATTTTAGCCTTACTTATATACTGTTATAGTTGAAGAATATTTAAAATTAGCTTTCAATTTTTATATTATTAGTTTTCACTTTAGTCAGTTTATGTGCGTTTTGTCATTTATTTATTTATTTATTCATTACTGTTTTTAAATATTGCCATGTAGGTTTAATTTCTTTTATTACAGTTCTGTTTTAGTTCTAATTAAGTTCCAATTAGTACATTTGAGTACTTTTCAGTTAGTTGCCAAGGCAAAATTTTGACTTCGTTTTTGATCTAATGTTTATATTCCAGAATGATATTAATTAACAAATGACTGTTTTTAATCGTTTTAGTTTAACAATAACAACCCTGATCAACATGCAGTGACACGCTGACATAGCAAGTGTTTAGTCATGAACTCAGATTTTTCCCAGTTAATGAAATCCAGTCACAGCGGTCACATGGAGTGGTCACCGGAAGCAGATTTATGATGCATGCTAATGCCGTGATCTTTCTCGAGTGACCACTTATGATCAGATCACCTGAGATGGACCTCAGGGGAAACTTATAGTCAGTATTTTAGTTCATAGGGCTTCAGCTGTCAGAAACCCCCAGATCACGACACCACAGGGACTTTCCTGCGCTCCACCAGGGGGAGGAGTCTGTCGCTCAGCCAATCACAAGCTGGAGGCGGGACAGAGAAAGCAGTGTGGACACGGGTTACCCGGGGTCAGCAGGGACGCCCATCACACTCCCGGAGCTGGAGGTCCAAGAGTGAGTCCACAGCACACATCTGCTGAAAACACGACTGACAAACACTCCTTATGATGCTTTCACAAACAAAGAAAAAAAGACCTCAAACTGACGGTCTAGAGAAGTATGTGCATATGAAAACACATGTGAGCTACAAAACAGTGTGCAAAGAGTAAATCAAAAGCATTTTTCAGGGCATTAGCAATCACAACCAGTTTGAACACTTCATCTTCTTATTCTTAATTCTGAATATTTTCCATATGCACTATAAAAAATTATTTTTCTGTTTGTTTTTTTTATTTATTTTTTATAAATAAAACCGATTCTAGGAGTTTTTCTACCTCAGATTTCACATTTAATTCAGTGTGTTACTTGTTGTTTCTTGTTATTATTTGTGAAATTGGCAAATTGTGAAATCTCTCTCCTTCCCTCTCTATAGAAAAATTTTCACTTTTTATAGAAAATGTTTCACTCTTACACATTAACTTAATTTTTTTTTTTATATTTACAAAATATTACAAAAAATATAATAAAAATATATATAATAATTAAAAATATATATACTAATAATTATATAAATAAATACTTATATACTAAAATAAGTCAGTTGATTTTTTTTTGTCAATTTTTTTTCTGTCTCATATCAACATCAATTTTATTTTAGAATTATTTGTATACTATTATAATTTTTGCTAATATTTTAAAATAGCTTTTAATTTTTTATATTGTCTATATACGTAGTAAAGTTTTAATAAAGTGTAATGATATTAATAAACACAGTATTCTTCCACCAAACAATGTAGCTCCTCAGAAACAGTTGTGGTTGCTACAAAGTGGTTGCCGAGCGACACACAAACGTAAACAAAGGTGTGTGTTACTTTGTAGCGTCATTTACAACAGCTTCGAACGCGGCTCAGCCAATCAGAATCAAGCACCGGAACTCTCCGCTTTATAAAATAATGGAAATGGAATTCTGCGAATGATGTTGTAACAAAAGCATGTGACACAAATGAAAGCTCTTATATTTAAGCATTTCGATTGAGTTAAATGTGTCCAATCGAGTCAAAGCTTTTGAAGATGTCACAAGCAATTACACAACGCAAACAAGTAACCGAAGGCAACTAGATAGAGTTCACAAATAGAAGTGCAGGTTTAACAATGTCGTGTGATGTTTGTTCTCAGTGCGCATGAATCCGAGGATCAGACGGATGATCAGCTGTCTGAACGTGAGGACACCGTGATCTCTGACGAACAGAAGAACATCAGTGAGACCCGAGACATCAGACAGACATCTGCAGCTACAGACGGTCAGATTCCTCGACACTAAACCTGACACATATTCATGCCTTTTCTGTTTCATGTTAATTAAAACCGTGTTCTTGTTGATAGTAGTTTTGTTTACAGATGAGAGCAGCGCGGCTGATGTCACCGAGGCATCATGGGCCAATCAGAGCAGAGCTCACAGAGATCAGGTGACTGTGTGCTGCTCCATCAGTCTACAGAGATCACTACCTAATGATTTCATACATGACTGATAGTTAGTTTGTTTTGAATGTTTTCAGGTCAAATACTGTTCAAAAAGATGTGGTTACACAGATCAATTGCATCGTTCATTCAGTCTAATGACACTAAGCTGTAAAGTTGTACATAACTATACTGTTTGTTGTTTCTTATAATCACTTCCTGGTTCACATCATGAATATTTATACTTAAATGTACTTAAATCAATACCTCAATCTAAATTTATACTTCATATTTGTACTTAAATCAATATTTATTTAATGTATTTTTTATGTGTGTGTGTATGTATGTATTTATACTTTTTTAATAATACATTGTAGTGGTCGACCGATATTGTTTTTTTGACAGCCGATGCCGATATCTTGGAAAGCAGGGTGGCCGATATAAAGCCGATATAATTGTATTTATTTTAATGTTTAAGAAATTTTAAATAATTTGAAAATGGATTAAAAAAATAAATGCGTACAATAAACATATTTATACTTTAAATGACAAATTATTTTTCACAAATAAATAAATATTTAATAAAAATATAATTAAAAAAGAAGTAAACACTAACAAACAGGGCACTCGGTAATCTGGGAAGTTTGTGTGCATTGGGATTTGGGAATCATATTTTTTTCAAATAAAGCCAAGGTAACACTCATTTTACATATAGCACACAGTGAAAATGGCATGAATATGGCATTGGGCAAAAGCATGAAGCGCAACATAATTTGAAATCACGAGTTTAAAGTTAGTCGATCGCGCGTCTCCAGTGAAGCAGAACTCTCCTCCTGTCAGCATTCAATTTGCACGGACCGACCGTCACGCAGAAAATACGCAATCATCAATCGTTATAATACTTTTTTGTATGCCGTCAAAATAAAAGTCCCGCCTCGAACGCATCGCCAAACAGAAAAACTTATCGGCCAATACCGATATTTCAAAAAATGCCAAATATCGGCCGATATATCGGTCGACCACTAATACATTGCAATAATACATAGTCTTTTAAATCAATTAAATAGTTATTTAATACATTATTTATTTATTACTATTATTATTAATAATAGTAAATACTACTTTATCAGCAATGCTTATTTGTAATTATTTGTCAATACGTATTTATCCATAATATTGATTTATTAAAATATATAATTTATAATTTTTTTTATTGGCACTTGTAGTAATAATTCATATTATAAAGGTGTCTGTCACGATCACTTTCTTTTCACATCATAACATTTATACTCGAATCAATATTTATTTATCAGTAATATGTGTTCATTTATTATTGATAATCTTTCATTTATGTATCAATAATATATTTAATAATGCATTGTAATAATACAGTTATTAGTGGGTAATTAGTTATTTAATAATACTTATTTATAAATAATATTTAAATATATTAATAAATATACTTTCTTTGTCAGTAATGATTATTTATCAGTACTACTTTATGTATTAAAATATATAATTACTTATCAACAATAATTCATGTTATTATAAATATGCAATATTATTAATATATGTATTTATTTAGTTGGTCAGTTAGTGGCCAATAGCCATATCATTAGCAGGATAATGTCCGGTTCTCCAGTTCATTAGATGCATCAGATCCGGATGTAAACAAGCTCTCCTGATGTTTCCACAGGCATTAACACTGGCTGATCTACAGCGTCCGGATACAGAGGAACATTCACTACAATCGCAGTGAGTCTGTGCATGTGAACTTTAACCCTTGACACGTGAGCCATGCTCTTCAGTTACATATTAAGAGACTGTCTTTCGTTGTAGCTTTCAGAGTGGTTTAGACACAGGTGGTTCGGTTGTCACAAAGACGCTCACGTTGCGCTCATCTGTGTGTGTTGTGTTTGTCTGATCTCATTTCAGATCGGAGGAAAAACACGTCTCTTGTGCGCCGCTGGACAGGTGAAGATCATCTCATCTCTCAGCTAGGGATGTAACGATATTATCATAGCAAAACTGTCTCGATATTATCGTGGTCATATAAAACGATAGGTCTTCCGGGCAAAAAGTGTAGTTTTTAAACTATATTTAAACTTCATATTCTAACATAAAAGGTCTTTAAAGTTGTGTTTTGGCTAGTGGTTCAACGGATCACAAATCTCACTTATTTTTTTCGGATCAGCAAGAAAAGACAAATATTTCAATTTAACTTGCTTTCCATTTATTACTTAAAGCGAAGTACTTCTTTGATACCACAGCAAACACTACTAGATTAACTAAAACATTTTAAACATGATTAAAGAGACAAGAGAACAGCCAGTTAAAATAAGAACAAATACACAAATTACAAGCACAGTAAATACAACAGAATATGTTACAAATTAAATAAGGTTGGTAGTATTCAAATACAGAAATGCAAGATAATCTTTCATTTATGTATCAATAATATTTATTTATTTAATAATAATAATTTATTTAATAATGCATTGTAATAATACAGTTATTAGTGGGTAATTAGTTATTTAATAATACTTATTTATAAATAATATTTAAATATATTAATAAATATACTTTCTTTGTCAGTAATGATTATTTATCAGTACTACTTTATGTATTAAAATATATAATTACTTATCAACAATAATTCATGTTATTATAAATATGCAATATTATTAATATATGTATTTATTTAGTTGGTCAGTTAGTGGCCAATAGCCATATCATTAGCAGGATAATGTCCAGTTCTCCAGTTCATTAGATGCATCAGATCCGGATGTAAACAAGCTCTCCTGATGTTTCCACAGGCATTAACACTGGCTGATCTACAGCGTCCGGATACAGAGGAACATTCACTACAATCGCAGTGAGTCTGTGCATGTGAACTTTAACCCTTGACACGTGAGCCATGCTCTTCAGTTACATATTAAGAGACTGTCTTTCGTTGTAGCTTTCAGAGTGGTTTAGACACAGGTGGTTCGGTTGTCACAAAGACGCTCACGTTGCGCTCATCTGTGTGTGTTGTGTTTGTCTGATCTCATTTCAGATCGGAGGAAAAACACGTCTCTTGTGCGCCGCTGGACAGGTGAAGATCATCTCATCTCTCAGCTAGGGATGTAACGATATTATCATAGCAAAACTGTCTCGATATTATCGTGGTCATATAAAACGATAGGTCTTCCGGGCAAAAAGTGTAGTTTTTAAACTATATTTAAACTTCATATTCTAACATAAAAGGTCTTTAAAGTTGTGTTTTGGCTAGTGGTTCAACGGATCACAAATCTCACTTATTTTTTTCGGATCAGCAAGAAAAGACAAATATTTCAATTTAACTTGCTTTCCATTTATTACTTAAAGCGAAGTACTTCTTTGATACCACAGCAAACACTACTAGATTAACTAAGACATTTTAAACATGATTAAAGAGACAAGAGAACAGCCAGTTAAAATAAGAACAAATACACAAATTACAAGCACAGTAAATACAACAGAATATGTTACAAATTAAATAAGGTTGGTAGTATTCAAATACAGAAATGCAATAATTAGGGTAATAACACTGCATAGTGTTCACTGTATAAATTAAATATAGATTTTTAATCACAGCTGTTTTGTTGTTTGATGATCATTTATGACAGCAGCAGTATTTATAGGGCGCTGTCTCTTTAAGAGCTGATGCACGGATCCGATATAATGATACACATCACATCCGATTTCTTTCTCAGCTGTTTTCATTCACTTGAGATATAACTGACTTTTACCTGAATGATTAGGGTTTACTGGCTAGCACACCTGACCTCATATATTCTCTCAGAATGACCTTGGCATCACAGTGTTGTGGGAGTGATTGTGCATCTGGAGGTGAATTGAACGGTTGGTGGTCTGTATTTTCCCCCAACAACTGCTGTTAGTGCAGAGAACCATCCACCGCGCGTGCACACACACACACACACACTTTCCAAAGCAGATAAACACAAAAGAACTGGAAGAAACTGCTGTGCAATTAGTGTCATTGTTGTGTCATTTTAATTCCAGCAGTAAAATTACACAGATTCTTCAGTTATCTCATCTTTTCTTCTCTACCTCTGCAGACATGACCAATCGCTCCTTTTCTTTTGTCTGCACAAATCATCCTGTAGTTCTAAAGCAGGATGGGCCCAAATCACAGGGGACGAGCAGCAGATAATGAAGTTTTCTCTCTGTCTTTCAATCGCTGGTTTAGTTTCTCTCTGTTATGCCTGTGTTCTGTCTTTTTTTTGTCTCACACTTGCTCATTTAAGTCTCTGCAGCACTGTGATGAATACTTTTTTTTTTCACAAATACACCAAAGACACTCAAGCACTTTCTTTCTCTCACATTGTGTTTTCTTTTTATCTTTATTTTTTATTCTGTCTCTTTGCACCTGAAGTTAGGGATTGACTGTCTATAGAGAGCACTGGGTTTTTTCTCACACTACTGTTCAAATGTTTGGGGTCAATAAGACTTTATTTTTTTTAAAGAAATTAACATTTATCCAGCAAGGATGCATTCATTTGATCAAACGTGACAGTAAGGACATTTATAATGTTACAAAATGTATCACAGTTTACACAAAAATATAGCGGCACAAATAATTTCTACATTGATAATAATAAGCAATAATTGTTGAGCACCAAATCTGCATATTAGAATGATTTCTGAAACATTACACTGAAGACTGCAGTAATGACTGCTGAAAATTCAGCTTAGCCATCACGGCAATAAATTACATTTTTTAATATTTTAGATAATAGAAATGGAAATAGAATACAGCCATACATTTCATATCTGAAACCAACATTGTGGTTTCAGGAACAGTGATCTGTTCCTCCTCTTCCAGTTCTGTCTTGTGTGTCTAATTGTGAGCATTTGTTTGTGACACAGCTGTGAAACTTCAAGAAACTCCTAATTTTTCTCTCTCATATTACACACACACACACACACACACACACACACACACACACACGTCTGGTCAGCTATCCTTGTGGGGACTTTCCATAGGCGTAATGGTTTTTATACTGTACAGACCGTATATTCTATTGCCCTACACCAACCCTACCCCTAAACCTACCCCTTACAGGAAACTTTCTGCATTTTTAGATTTTCAAAAAACTTCATTCTATTCATGTTATTATAAATATGCAATATTATTAATATATGTATTTATTTAGTTGGTCAGTTAGTGGCCAATAGCCATATCATTAGCAGGATAATGTCCAGTTCTCCAGTTCATTAGATGCATCAGATCCGGATGTAAACAAGCTCTCCTGATGTTTCCACAGGCATTAACACTGGCTGATCTACAGCGTCCGGATACAGAGGAACATTCACTACAATCGCAGTGAGTCTGTGCATGTGAACTTTAACCCTTGACACGTGAGCCATGCTCTTCAGTTACATATTAAGAGACTGTCTTTCGTTGTAGCTTTCAGAGTGGTTTAGACACAGGTGGTTCGGTTGTCACAAAGACGCTCACGTTGCGCTCATCTGTGTGTGTTGTGTTTGTCTGATCTCATTTCAGATCGGAGGAAAAACACGTCTCTTGTGCGCCGCTGGACAGGTGAAGATCATCTCATCTCTCAGCTAGGGATGTAACGATATTATCATAGCAAAACTGTCTCGATATTATCGTGGTCATATAAAACGATAGGTCTTCCGGGCAAAAAGTGTAGTTTTTAAACTATATTTAAACTTCATATTCTAACATAAAAGGTCTTTAAAGTTGTGTTTTGGCTAGTGGTTCAACGGATCACAAATCTCACTTATTTTTTTCGGATCAGCAAGAAAAGACAAATATTTCAATTTAACTTGCTTTCCATTTATTACTTAAAGCGAAGTACTTCTTTGATACCACAGCAAACACTACTAGATTAACTAAGACATTTTAAACATGATTAAAGAGACAAGAGAACAGCCAGTTAAAATAAGAACAACTACACAAATTACAAGCACAGTAAATACAACAGAATATGTTACAAATTAAATAAGGTTGGTAGTATTCAAATACAGAAATGCAATAATTAGGGTAATAACACTGCATAGTGTTCACTGTATAAATTAAATATAGATTTTTAATCACAGCTGTTTTGTTGTTTGATGATCATTTATGACAGCAGCAGTATTTATAGGGCGCTGTCTCTTTAAGAGCTGATGCACGGATCCGATATAATGATACACATCACATCCGATTTCTTTCTCAGCTGTTTTCATTCACTTGAGACATAACTGACTGCTTGCTTGTGTAAATACGAACAAATGATAAACATATACTCTATTATGGTTACATTTAGCAATTAATCACATGCGTGCCGAACCGTGGGGCTAGTTTTGGGCCATTATGCTTTGTCAAACAAACCCAAACCGAAAGCACAATATGCTTAATGCCTTCATCAAGTCTGTTTTTGCTGCGTGTTTTAAAGCGAAGCACACATTGTTCGTGCGATCAGCTCGTGATCCGGTGTTTTCCGCGTCTCAGATCGGCTCGTTCACACTGAATGAATGCAGTTAACTCGTTTATTTCACGTGCTGTGAGTTTAGCACGTGTTTGGGAACACAACGGCCACCAGTTATGCTTTATTTTCTCTGCAGATGATCACAGCGTTTCACTAGATTTATAGTGAGATGTGTTTTTGTAAGCCTGTTTTCACTGAAGCTGTCAAAATAAAAGCTTTAAAGTGCAGTCCAAATTCAGTGTAGAAATTCGGAAAGAACTATTGGAATTTCCCTACTGTAGTGTAAAGCATAATATATCTATGAAATACTCATTTTCATTTATTTTACAGTGCAGTTGTTTTACAATATATTAATTTTACTGTCATTGTTGTTATGATAACTATTCTATTCTAATTTGTTTGGCTTCCTAAAACACCAGTGTGAATGTAATTTAGACTGAGACCGTATACCACAAATAACAAGAGGCTTGAGTCCACTTTAAAGTTCGTGAAAAATCGTGATTACAATTACAGATGCCACAATTACATAATCGTTCAAAGTCCGCTTATGTTATCCTGCGTGCTTAAGATGCGTTTTTTTCTTTCTACATGTTATCTTAAGGGTTTTTCCATTGTCTTAATTTGAGTTTTGGCATAACATTATAATACCATGGATATATTTTTTACTTTTTATTTTAAGAAGAAACCAATCCAATATATATTTGACATTTGAGGCTCAATACTATAGAAAAGCAATAAAAGTTTTTCAGTTAGAGTGTTTTCAGCTGGTTTATTTTCATATAAAATATATGGCATGCAGTTGCTTCAAGCAATAATTCAGTGTAAATTGGGATAATCGTCGTTAATAATCGCAATTACAATTTCGAGGGAATAATCGACAATTATGATTTTTGTCATAATCGTGCAGCCCTAGTCGGAGCTCTTAATTTTGAACTCTGTGCACTAGATAGAATAATTGAACTTTAAAATGTACACTGTTTTCATTTTCCCCCCAATTCTTAATTTGCCTTTTTATCTTTTCAAATATCGCGATAAATACCATATTGTGGACTTCATATCGCAATAATATCGTATCGTGAGATTCTGATATATCGTTACATCCCTACTCTCAGCGTGTTTCTCTGAAAGCATCTGTGCTGCTTTCCTTTCAGACCTGAGCTCGCAGCTTCAGTCGGCGTTCAGCGGACAGACACAGCGTCATTACCCATGAGACCCGGCGCTGAAGCACCTCTCGGTGAACCCCAAACACAGACAGACCCCGTCAGACAGCTGCTCCAGGACGAGCTCTTCAGACTAGTGCAGGTGCGTCTGAGCCTCTTCATCACATCCCTGTTTAATAAACACATGCAGGACTCTGTGAAACTACGGAGGACAGTTTTGAGTATTTTATGTTAAATGCATCAATCTGCTGCACTTTGAGAGACCCATCTGTCACATTTGTAGTGTTCAAATTGAAGGTAAAAGTGGACTCAGACGTCTTTTTCTTTGTGATATACATTCACAATTTAAATAAGTAAATATTTCATAATACTTTAAAGTAGGAAAATAATAATACTTTGTTCTTAATTTCAAATTTTGTGTTATATACATATATATATATTCATTTAGAAATAATAATAATAGTACTACTAATAATTTATCAATATAAATAATTATTAATAATACTATTTGATACATAATTTATTTAATGGTAATTTTTATTTGTAAATAATGATTACATTTGTATATATTATCTATAACATTTATAATAAGTATTATTATTATTATTATTGTTATTAAATAAATAAAAAGATGTTAAAGAGAATTGTTTGACATATGCTTTGCCAAAATAATGGCACAAAACACAATGTTAGAGACCATTTATGTTATTTATTTTTGTCAATAACATTTATTCATCTATAATATATTTATTAATTTAGCAATAATAACACTGTATCAATATGATTGATTTATTAATGAATATTGTATATGTATTAATAATGTTTGAAAATGATTTAATAAATAATATTTTTTTGTTTAATAATATTTGCATTTTTACTTCTCAGTACTTATTTATTTATTAATAATAAATATGTATTTGTCAAAAATGATTAATTGCAATTATTTATCAATAATCAATTTATTAAATATATTTATAATATAATTATTTGATTTTATATCATTTTTAATAATAATTAATAAAAGAGGTGTTTGTTTGACATCAATCATTAGCACAAAAAACAACACTGGAGATGTTTTATCTAATTGTGATAAATGGTTCATTATGTAACTGGCGGGACAGATTAAATCTTTCTGGGCCGCCAGAGTCCAGGTAATTATTAGGAAACACTGATATGAATGATTCAGTGCCCAAACATTTACAGTTTGCTGTTTTCCTTCTGTTTCAGCTGCAGCAGATCAACTTCATGAGTCTCATGCAGGTTGTTGGAGCGTCTTTCTCAAACCTGCCGCTGTCTCGAGCCAACGTGCTTCAGTCCACTGCGATACCTGCACAGCAGCAGTCTCAGCCCGTCTCTCTTACCCAGAATGCCCAGCTCACTGTGTGTGATGATACCAGCCTCCCAACACGAGCCACCGGACCGGAAAGGGTTAACAACACCCAGGATTTACGTCCTGTGAATGTGAATCCACGTAATGAGAGGGAACCGAGAAACCCGACCCGCAAACCTCAGGTAATATTAGTAATTATAGAAATAATATTGGTGTTATGTTAGTATTAATTACTTGGTAAAAATTGTATTTATTAATATTTTTGAATGTTGTTTTTCTATTTTCATATTTTATTTAGTTTTATTTTAATTTATTTTTATAGTTTTAATTTTAATTTTCTAATTATCTTTATTTTTTATTTCGTTTCTTACATTTATATTAGACTTTATTTCTGCTTTATTTCAACTAACGAAAATTATTTGTAATAGTTATGTATCTATTTTACAAATGAATGTATTTTGGACATATAAGCTATAAGAATATATGCTCAAAATTCACAAAAATATTTGAAAACAGAAAATGTGAATTATCTATTGAGAAAGCTGTCCGTACATTTTGAAACGACCCTTTAAAACTATTTAAATGGTATTAAAATGCTTATTTTACTTCTTTTATGACCTTTTTATATTAGACTTTATTTCTGCTTTATTTCAACTAACGAAAATTATTTGTAATATGTATCTATTTTACAAATGAATGTATTTTGGACATATAAGCTATAAGAATATATACTCAAAATTCACAAAAATATTTGAAAACAGAAAATGTGAATTATCTATTGAGAAAGCTGTCCATACATTTTGAAACGACCCTTTAAAACTATTTAAATGGTATTAAAATGCTTATTTTACTTCTTTTATGACCTTTGTAATCTGTTTACTTTAATTTTACTGTTTTAAATGAACTTGTAATAACCAATCAAAAGAATAGGAATTGTTGGTAGATGCCAATAATAATAAAAAAAAAATCTAATTGAAAAATAATCTATTTATCAATATTTTTGTATTCACTGATCATATATTTATTAATAATAATATATAATAAATTATTTATTCATCAATATCATTTATTTAATAATAATAATAACAACTACTTAACTATTTATTTAAATATTAAATATATTTTTTATGTAATAATACTTATGTGTCATATTTATTTATATTTATCAATAATAATAAATTATTATTTGTCATTAATGGTTATTTGCTATTATTTGTCAGTATTTATCAATATATTATTTTAAAATGTATGTATTTATTGATTGAATATTTATTTATTTGCAAGTAGTCCTATCATAAGCAGGAAATTGTACACTTAGCCATATGTGACCCTGGACCACAAAACCAGTCATAAGGGTCAATTTTTCTAAACTGAGATATATACATCATCTAAAAGCTGAATAAATACGCTCTTCATTGATGTATGGTTTGTTAGGATAGGGCAATATTTGGCTGAGATGCAACTATTTGAAAATCTGGAATCTGAGGGTGCAAAAAATCTAAATATTGAGAAAATCATCTTTAAAGTTGTTCAAATGAAGTTCTTAGCAATGCATATTACTAATCAAAAATTAAGTTTTGATATATTTACAGTAGGAGATTTACAAAATATCTTCTTGGAACATGATCTTTACTTAATATCCTAATGATTTTTGGCATAAAAGAAAAATCAATAATTTTGACCCATACAATGTATTGTTGGCTATTGCTACAAATATACCCCAGCGACTATGTAATGACTGATATTAGAGTTGAATCTCTCACAGGAAGTCCAGCAGTTGAGCATCCGCTCAGACTGGCCGGAGGACGGCAGGAGTTTGATCCCGACGTCTCGGGGGCTTCTGAGCACCGCTGATAATCAGGCGTCTCTGCCGGCGTCCTCTGAAGCTCCAGTGACACACGGACTCAGACTCCTGCAGCTGCCGCCTCCTCCCGCTCCTCCAGACCTCACTTCATCTCATGCAAACCTCGCCCCCGCTCAGTCTGACCCCCCCTGTCTCCGGAGAGCAGCGTCAGCATCCGCGGCTCCTCCGTCTCTCCTTCAGACGCGCCGCTGTAGCGCTCCGATGAGTCGAGGAGCTCAGGGAGCGCTGCGTTTGCCTCCTGCTCCTGCTCTTCCTCTGCTGCGCTTTCACCCAGATACCCAGCGGCCCGTGACACTGCCTCGTATCCCACAATCCACCACGGCAAAACAGCCCAGTCTAGACCACTATCCCAGAATTCAGCTGCTGCACAGAGAGCCGGATCCACCCGCCGCTGTGAGTCTCCATTTACACCAACAACATTAGATTAACTAATCAGATTGTTATGGAAATACTTTTGCTATAATAGTTTGATTGCATCATATAATAATTGCTGTTAATAGTGTTCATCGTCTGTTTGATTACGTCTTTAATTGATTTTTACAGGGATTAAAGTTTTCAGTTCATAAAGAGAGTCACTTGCTTCATTCCTGAATGAATCAGCCGTTCGAACGAATCAATTGAATGAATGATTCAGTGATAAAATCAGTGACTTGCCGCCACCTGCTGGCAGATTTAGTTTCATTTTTAGCATATGATTTCAGATATTTAAATTATTTCATATTTCTGTATTTAAAATTTTATAGTTAAAACATTAAACATTGAATACAGAAATATTAAATAATTTAAATAACTGAAATTATACGCTAAAAATACGCTAAGACTGTTCTTTCCATTCTTTATTTAAGGTTAAATGTATCCTTATAAATATATATGATTTCAAAAACACTTTAACACATAATATAAAAATAGGAATATCAATAATAGTGTGATTAAACATTAAATAATTAATTTTCATCTAAAAACACTATATAGATACATGTTCCTTTTGAAAAATGTTCCTTTTGACTCGACAATAAGACAACACACAACTGCAGCTGAAGTTTTTGCTGATTTAGTAGCATAACAGGCATAATTACACGTCACTGTACTATTCATATTTATAAGTGTGACACATTCAGTGATGTGAGTCTGCATTAATCTGCGCACTTGGTTAGTGATTGTCAGAAGAAGAGCTGTGATGCACGTGAGATTTTGATCAAACCACATTGATTTTGTGGTGCGTTCATGTGTGTTTGTGCAGGTTCAGCGCTTCAGCACAGCTCCGGTACGAACAGCTCGTCTCATCCCGCCGCAGGAGCTGTTGAGGTGGGCCACTGAGACCAAACTACAGCTCTTAAAGACCGACCCTGTCCCGGAGAACAACAGCACAAGCAGCCCATCCATCAAGAGGTGACGCGGCTGCAAACCACACACCTGACCGCATGCAGACCCTGGACCACAAAACCAGTCTTAAGTGTCCATTTCTTGAAATTGAGATTTATGCATCATCTGAAAGCTGAATAAATAAGCTCTCCATTGATGTATGGCTTGTTAGGATCGGACAATTGCTGTTGGTTTGGTAATGTAAATGTTAAACATCTGAATTTATTGAAAGGCATTGAGATTATCGGCATTAAGCAGACTGGGTTATTAAATAGTTTTGAACGGTTTGTTTTAACAGAAAGCTATTCTTGCAGATTGTACTCATCCACTGTTCCATGAGTTTAAAATACGGTATAGTATGCCTGAACTAAAAAGCAATCTGTACAGACATTGTTTTATTCCCAAAGCTGCAAGGCTTTTAAATCTGTGAGGGATTGTCAGAGTGTTGTGGTGTTATTTGTTTTGTTTGTGTGTTTTGTATGATGTTTACCAATTTTATGCTGCACCAATAATCGCCCTTTGGGCGTATAATAAATTTGAACCTTGAATATTTGGCTGAGATACAACTATTTGAAAATCTGGAATCTGAGGGTGCAAAAAAATCTAAATATTGAGAAAATCATCTTTAAAGTTGTCCAAATGAAGTTCTTAGCAATGCATATTACTAATCAAACATTAAGTTTTGATATATTTACGGTAGGACATTTACAAAATATCTTCATGGAACATGATCTTTACTTAATATCCTAATGATTTTTGGCATAAAAGAGAAATGTATAATTGTGACCCATACAATGTATTGTTGGCTATTGCTACAAATATACCCCAGCGACTTAACACTGCTTTTGTGCTCCAGGGACACAAATGAGGTTTTTAAAAATATTCTGGCTTTGTGTCCCTCAGACGGAAGAGGAGAGAGGAGAAGATTGCAGTCACTTTCAGACCAGAGGACTCCATCATTCCTCCGGAGGAGGTACAGACGTCTCTGGATCCCAAAACTGTGTTTATGTATTTTTGATGAACTATTCCTTTAAGTCAGTGGTCACCAACCTTTTTAGGCCCAAGATCCCTGACCTCGGCCTTTATGAAAGACGAGATCTACCTATTGAAGAATTGATAGAAAAAGACATCCCAGATTGTACTTCAAATTTGAGGCCTTTTACTTAGTATTTTAATTAGTGCTGCGCCGATCATAGCTGATTCAGATTTTCTTTTCTTTCAACCCGATGGACGGGTTGGCGACCGCTGCTTTAAGTCATGCACAGTATAATAGCAAAGTCGATCCTCTTGTCTTTTGTTGTGTTCAGCCTGCAGAAGATGTGCCAGATCAGAACGACGCTTACACCTTTCCTTTAGGTGAGAAATATGTGTCTGACAGTGCTATTTTAGCCTTATTTATATTCCTTAATATTGTCAATCAGCTTTTAATTTGATATTTTCACTTTTAATACTAGTTTTACCAATTTAGTTTGTTTTTTATTATTATTAATTTTATATTTCTGTTTAGCTTTAATTTGTTTTTAACATTTGTCATTTTCAATTAGGTTTTTATGTCCTTCATGTAATATTTATATATTTTTAAAGCTTTATTTAAATTACCAAAAGTGGCTTTATTATTCATTCATTCTGTGAAATTATGCAAAATACTGTTTCATAGCCAGTAAAAATATTTATGGCCAGTAAATGTTTATACATGCTATTAGAAAATGTCGAATAAGTTAATTGTTTACTCTTACGTCTTATATATTTAATTGCTCATTGTTTGTGTAAGTGATATTTTGGATTAACTTTTATTTTTATATTTCATTTTAACATGAGTCATTTTATGTTCTGTAATTTTTATTAGTTTTAGTTTTTAAAAACATTTCAAGTTTAGTTTAAGCTACATTTCTAATTTTTAAGTTAGGGCTATTTTTTTGCTAGTTATTTTTTATGTATTTTAAGCATTATTTCAGTTACCGAAAGCAGCTTTTACTAGTTTTAGTTAACTGCTTCCCGAACTCTGCCTGTCTTCCTCATGTTCTTCAGATGTAGATGAAATGTACTTGTCTTTCTGCTCAGGCTGCTTTGACTCTGAGTTGTCGGGACAGCGGTTGTTGGATAAGGCTTGCGTCACCTCGGCTGAGCTGCATGCCTTCGCCTCGACGCAGAAGAGAGCTCCTGAAATCCAGGACGCCTGTACAAACACTGGTATGTGGTCCGATCGCTGAGATCACACACTTTAACGTCACTGATGTAACTTCTGCCTCTGTTTCCTCCAGAACCGTCTCGACCCGTCACAGATGAAGCCGTTTCCGTCCAGCTTCCTTCATCTCCCAGCATGCCATCTGCTCGTGAGTTCATGAGATGAATCTGGGTCCAAAATGAGCACTTGAGATGCGTCAAAATTAAAATTTAGGCTAGTAAATATACTTTCAATAACATAACTTTTTTTAAACATTGTTGCATTAGAAAGTTTTTTTTTCTTTTTCTATAAGCGTCGTAAGCAAATTAAATGAAAGAAATAAAGATGGTCTCTACTAAAGAAAAAAATCTGCGTAAATTTGGCATAATTTCCCAGAATAAATAAACCTAAAAATCACACACACACACACACACATATATAGTTCATTTATTTTTGCTGGAAAATAGTATGCAAAATATTATCATTAAAGAAAACTAAAATTAGGACTACAACAAATTCTATAAAAGCAAAAAAAAAAAAAAAAATCTCAAATTTTCTTGTAATAACATAGATGTTAACTAAAATATTATTTTAATTATTTAATTACAAATTGTTTATATTATTTAAATTTGAATTACTGAAAAAACTGAAGCTGAAATAAAAATAAGAGCTATATAGACATTAAAAAATAAAAATAATAAAAACAACAAATTTACTAAAACTTGATACATGATAAATGGAACATGATAAACAAATAAAAAAATATTAATAAATACTATAATATAAATGAAACTTAAATTAGGACTGCAACAAATTCCATTAAAGCAAAAAAAAAACATTTTGTTACTTGTAATTAAATAGATGTTAACTAAAATATTATTTTAATTATTTAATGATTTTTTAAAAATATTATTTAAATGTGAAGTACTGAAAAAACTGAAACTGAAATAAAAATAAGAGCTATATAGACATTAAAAATTATAAAAACAACAAATTTACTAAAACTTTAAATTTAAATGAAAATGGAACATGATAAACAAATAAAAAGTATTAATAAATACTATAATATCAATGATACTAAAATAGCACCGATTCATACTATCGGATGATGAAAAAAATCAGTGACAGAAAATCATGGAGAATAAAAGAATATTTTGTGTCATTTACATTATTATGCAGCTCATTGTTTGTGTATGTCTGATGTGTTTCTCCACAGCTGGAGGAGGGCTGATAGATGTTGCTCCTGTCGTTCCTCCAGATGTTTTCTTGAATCTTCGCTACTCTAAAGAAACATCATTAGATCCGGAGAACAGAAGCCCTGCAGAGTCTGACGTAGGTCTTGTAGAGAAACGCTGCAATAAAAACCATATTCGATTCTAATAATGCTTGAACGGTTGCAGACTGAGTTTGGGTCGTCTGACTCGTCTCTCTGTTATTGTAGAGTCCAGAGGGACGACGGTTCATCAACGTGATCGATCTGACAGACGACTCTCTGCTTCAGAGTCTGCCCTCATCGGCTCAGCTCCACCTACTAGCGGCGTCTGTCGTAAACCCCGCCCACAAACCTGACTTAAGCCCCGCCCCTAACATCACTGAGCACTTCACTGAGAATCTGGCTGGAGGGAATCCAGGTACACAGTGCAGAGATTGCCAAATGGTTTTGACGATTGGTTAAGGATTGAATGAATGACAAATTTCGACTTATGACTGGTTTTGTGCTCCAGGGCCACATTTGGTTAACGACCAGTGCAGATCTCAAAATGGTCAAATATCAGTCGACAGAAATATTACTCTGTTGTTAGTGATTATAACAACCTGCCAGTCAGACCATCCTGAATCTAGTTCCCTATCTAAACTGACTGCTCTGGTCTTCCTGCAGGCCCCTCAGTAGTGTGCGTGTCTCCTGAAGCCGTTCTCGGTGGAGACCCCGTGACTCTGAGCGTCCTGACGGGTGTTAGGTCGCCGCCTCCGCGCGCTCTGGACCGGATGCTGCTGTCCAGGAGTCAGATCTCAGCACGGCTCTCAGAGATGGACGCTCAGCTGCTCAGACTGCAGAGCATCGCCGATCACATGGACCGAGAGTTCGCCAGCACCAGACTGGTAAGACCTGAAGCTGTGCTGCATGATGGGAAACGCGCTGACTAGGGCTGCACGAGAAGTCGCAATAAACTGTAACCACGGCTTCTTGGGGCTTATTGCTTTTATAAAACGGTTATTCCATATACTTAGTAAGGTTTCACAAAATAAAACTCACAATATATGAATAAAAATAATATTCTTCCACCAAACAATTTAGTTCCTCAGAAACAGTTGTGGTTGCAACACACAGAAGTAAACAAAGGTGTATGTTACTTTGTAGAGTCATTTAGAACAGCTTCGAACGTGGCTCAGCCAATCAGAACCAAGGACCGGAACTCTCCGTTTTATAAGGTATGTTAATCTGAGTTTTTGTCCTAACTAGCCACGACGGCAAAACGCAGAATTTCAAATTTAGAAACGGTTTCTATTTCCGCGGCTGGAATAACAACATGACAGTAGATAATCTCAGGTGATTATGCGCTTTATTCAAAGTTAAACGTGTCTAATATGAGTTTAAATATAATTTTGCGTGACCTTATAGCCGTACTGAAAGCAACAACAGTTCTCAGATCTTGAAAATAAATTAAAGCAAAGATGTCCGTTAAAACTGTGAACTCACTGCGAACCAACCGAGTCTATTCCATGTCAAAGATGGTATCAGTCACTCAGTATGTACATTTACTGAGTATTATCCAATTATCCATTTCGTTGCGAGTGCAGTGCGCTTCCAGAGAGGCTCCGCCCACACACGCTTCTGATTGGCTGTGATATTTGATTGATTCTGTCACGTTTGGTGTGGACACCCAAATTGATTGTCGCTGGAATCTTGTCGTGTATAGTTAGGACACGGTGAAAAGCTGCGACTGTCATGCGCATCTTTCTGTGATCAGTAGTAAATCTCCAATCGAAGGCCAGAGGTCGCTCTCGCGCAGAAGAAATCCGGGAAATGCCTATAGCGGTTGCTGAATAAACAAGATTTAACTGCTTTCATGGATCCAACGTGACTAATAAACATACGACTACAACAATATATGGTTTATCTGAGTTCGTCTTATTATAATGTTTAATATGATAAAGTATATAATAATATTATTCTGTGTAAGAAGCCACATTATCTGACAGAAGGATTTATTTCAAACACTCGACTGACGTTATGAAGTGAGTTTGGAGTAAAAACATGTTATTAAATGTGGTATTTTCACGTGCGTTCTGATGGAGCAGCATTTACTACACAGAGCCGTAGTTCACTGACAAGCTACGCAAAAAAAAAGAATAGCAGACGATATAATCGTGTGATTACGAAATCGCAAAAAAACGACAATGAAACTGTTTGCGTAGCTTCTCAGTGAACTACGGCTCTGTGTAGTAAATGCTGCTCCATCTGAAAGCACACGATGGAGATTTACTGCTGATCACAGAACCGGCTTTACTGACGAGATGCGCATGACTGTCGCATTCGATTAATCGTGCAGCCCTAACTCTGACGGTGCTCTGCTTCAGCTGGTGAACACTATTGAGACACAGAGTCCTTCAGCGATGGAGAAGAAACCTCAGTCCAGCTCTCTCAGAGTCATACAAGAAGGTGAGACGACTTCAGTAGCTTTATATAGAGAAGTATAGTAGAATAAACAAGGCCGCTGAACAGTTCTGCTGAATGTGTGAACAGTGAGGAGCTACTGTCCTTCACCGCATCGGTTTGGAGCGACGACCGACCCAGAGAGAGAAGATGAGGAGGTTTTGTCGTCTTCTGCATTGACCCGAAGTTCAGTCTATCACGAGCGCTTTCCTCCGACAGGTACATAATCATCTCTCCTCACATACGTGCTGCTTCAGACTAGTGGAAAGAAAGCATGCAAAGTACACATGGGGCTGTCAAAAAAAAAATCGAATTTCGAATATTCGTCGAATTTAAAATAAAACTCCACATTTTAGGTGTGCGTCAAGCTTCCTTATCAGTGGCACACGAGATGCGATGACGATGTAGGTGTCATTGCATTTTAATTCGTTTTTTTAGCCTATCCAGTTGAACCCACTAGATGCGGCGCTGCTGCGTTGTTCATTCAAAATGTTGTTTACCTCAAAACTGAAACCAAAAAAAAATTAGACGAGTAAAGAAAACGCGGTACTTGTTAAAAGAATCACCCCTTTATTTAAACATATGAACACAAGAAACCGCTGTTAACAGCTTAATGTAACATTTCCCAGTCCATGACTAGTAAAATAATGGCAACTTTTACTGTCTGTATAATATTGAACATGGTTCTTCTGCGCTGCGTCGTCGTCTTGTTTGACAGGTGTCAGCGTTAATGCACAATACTGCCCCCTGGCAGCTCAACCAGGTACTGGTGCCGGAGTTGGCTATATTTGCAAGTCCTGTTTTCATAAGTGTCCTGTTCATTTGAAATATTATGGTTATCGCCAATACCAGTATATCATCACACCCTAAATTAACACAATGTCGATATTTCACGTGTCTAATATGAGTTTAAATATAATTTTGCGTGACCTTATAGCCGTACTGAAAGCAACAACAGTTCTCAGATCTTGAAAATAAATTAAAGCAAAGATGTCCGTTAAAACTGTGAACTCACTGCGAACCAACCGAGTCTATTCCATGTCAAAGATGGTATCAGTCACTCAGTATGTACATTTACTGAGTATTATCCAATTATCCATTTCGTTGCGAGTGCAGTGCGCTTCCAGAGAGGCTCCGCCCACACACGCTTCTGATTGGCTGTGATATTTGATTGATTCTGTCACGTTTGGTGTGGACACCCAAATTGATTGTCGCTGGAATCTTGTCGTGTATAGTTAGGACACGGTGAAAAGCTGCGACTGTCATGCGCATCTTTCTGTGATCAGTAGTAAATCTCCAATCGAAGGCCAGAGGTCGCTCTCGCGCAGAAGAAATCCGGGAAATGCCTATAGCGGTTGCTGAATAAACAAGATTTAACTGCTTTCATGGATCCAACGTGACTAATAAACATACGACTACAACAATATATGGTTTATCTGAGTTCGTCTTATTATAATGTTTAATATGATAAAGTATATAATAATATTATTCTGTGTAAGAAGCCACATTATCTGACAGAAGGATTTATTTCAAACACTCGACTGACGTTATGAAGTGAGTTTGGAGTAAAAACATGTTATTAAATGTGGTATTTTCACGTGCGTTCTGATGGAGCAGCATTTACTACACAGAGCCGTAGTTCACTGACAAGCTACGCAAAAAAAAAGAATAGCAGACGATATAATCGTGTGATTACGCCACACACGCTTCTGATTGGCTGTGATATTTGATTGATTCTGTCACGTTTGGTGTGGACACCCAAATTGATTGTCGCTGGAATCTTGTCGTGTATAGTTAGGACACGGTGAAAAGCTGCGACTGTCATGCGCATCTTTCTGTGATCAGTAGTAAATCTCCAATCGAAGGCCAGAGGTCGCTCTCGCGCAGAAGAAATCCGGGAAATGCCTATAGCGGTTGCTGAATAAACAAGATTTAACTGCTTTCATTGATCCAACGTGACTAATAAACATACGACTACAACAATATATGGTTTATCTGAGTTCGTCTTATTATAATGTTTAATATGATAAAGTATATAATAATATTATTCTGTGTAAGAAGCCACATTATCTGACAGAAGGATTTATTTCAAACACTCGACTGACGTTATGAAGTGAGTTTGGAGTAAAAACATGTTATTAAATGTGGTATTTTCACGTGCGTTCTGATGGAGCAGCATTTACTACACAGAGCCGTAGTTCACTGAGAAGCTACGCAAACAGTTTCATTGTCGTTTTTTTGCGATTTCGTAATCACACGATTATATCGTCTGCTATTCTTTTTTTTTGCGTAGCTTGTCAGTGAACTACGGCTCTGTGTAGTAAATGCTGCTCCATCTGAAAGCACACGATGGAGATTTACTGCTGATCACAGAACCGGCTTTACTGACGAGATGCGCATGACTGTCGCATTCGATTAATCGTGCAGCCCTAACTCTGACGGTGCTCTGCTTCAGCTGGTGAACACTATTGAGACACAGAGTCCTTCAGCGATGGAGAAGAAACCTCAGTCCAGCTCTCTCAGAGTCATACAAGAAGGTGAGACGACTTCAGTAGCTTTATATAGAGAAGTATAGTAGAATAAACAAGGCCGCTGAACAGTTCTGCTGAATGTGTGAACAGTGAGGAGCTACTGTCCTTCACCGCATCGGTTTGGAGCGACGACCGACCCAGAGAGAGAAGATGAGGAGGTTTTGTCGTCTTCTGCATTGACCCGAAGTTCAGTCTATCACGAGCGCTTTCCTCCGACAGGTACATAATCATCTCTCCTCACATACGTGCTGCTTCAGACTAGTGGAAAGAAAGCATGCAAAGTACACATGGGGCTGTCAAAAAAAAAATCGAATTTCGAATATTCGTCGAATTTAAAATAAAACTCCACATTTTAGGTGTGCGTCAAGCTTCCTTATCAGTGGCACACGAGATGCGATGACGATGTAGGTGTCATTGCATTTTAATTCGTTTTTTTAGCCTATCCAGTTGAACCCACTAGATGCGGCGCTGCTGCGTTGTTCATTCAAAATGTTGTTTACCTCAAAACTGAAACCAAAAAAAAATTAGACGAGTAAAGAAAACGCGGTACTTGTTAAAAGAATCACCCCTTTATTTAAACATATGAACACAAGAAACCGCTGTTAACAGCTTAATGTAACATTTCCCAGTCCATGACTAGTAAAATAATGGCAACTTTTACTGTCTGTATAATATTGAACATGGTTCTTCTGCGCTGCGTCGTCGTCTTGTTTGACAGGTGTCAGCGTTAATGCACAATACTGCCCCCTGGCAGCTCAACCAGGTACTGGTGCCGGAGTTGGCTATATTTGCAAGTCCTGTTTTCATAAGTGTCCTGTTCATTTGAAATATTATGGTTATCGCCAATACCAGTATATCATCACACCCTAAATTAACACAATGTCGATATTTCATGATTCGAATATCACAGTTATCGTCAATACCGGTATATCGTGACACCCCTATACAGTACATATCTTTAAAGAGATTTTTCTCCACTTCTGTTGCACTTGTATAAACCAGACTAATAATTTTATTCCTCTCTATATTCTAAAGGATGTTACTGAAGAGTTTATGTCATTCGCCTGATTTTATTTTTGCAGTTTATCTACTTGCGTCTGTAGATTCAATTAAATGTAAATGTTTTTTTGTTAATTGTTTTTTTAGCCCAATGGTGCTGTTCGGTCATTTTTGTCTTATCTGAAAAAATGTAACGTAAACATGTAAATAATTTTTTTTTTTTTAAATAAATTTTTTTTTTTTTATAATTCTCCGGAATGGTATGAAACTTGATAAGGGATTTGGCACTTGCTAAGTGAACACACATACAAAAATCATGGACATGAATGGTCAAAAATGACCACATTGGAAACGAATGGGAAGCGTTTGGTAGTGCGCCAGAACAAAATTTTACTGAAAGCTCATTTTTTTGAGATATCAACCTCAAATTTGGAACACAACTTTAGATTTCTGGCTTTTTAAATTAAAAATTTTTAATTAGTATTTTTGTGCATTCTTCATAATAATAAGCTTAAACTTTTGTTCACTTCAGCAATAATCTGGCAAGTGTCTTCTTTAAAAAAGAGGCCAAGCTTAAGTCTGCGCTCCAAAGCATTCAAGATTTATGACAGTTTAAGTTGGAAATATAATTTTTATGCTCAAAAAAGTGTTTGACAGGACGGTGGATCATAACTATTCCATTAATTTAGTACCATAAAATCCCCTAAAAATACAAAATGTTTAAATAAAAAAACATTATCCAACTAATATATAGTGCATTCATTTAATTGAAATAAAAAATGCCATGTGAACGACATGTTTCTTGTAATCACACAGCATGTTTGTGCAGTTTTTAAAGTGCTTTATAAATACATTTGAACTGAATTGTATGCTCACTGCATGGCTTTGTGTATTAATCCAGTTTCACTGATAGATAAACTGAGCTGGATGTTGACATCACTGAATTCAATGATGAACTGTCTTTAACTGAAAAATGAGTGTTTACTATTGTCATTTTGCATTATTGACACACTATTTTCCTAATTAATGCTGTTCAGTTGCTTTGACACAATCTGTATTGTTAAAAGCGCTATATAAATAAAGGTGACTTGACTTGATAGTCTGTCGAGTCTTACTGTCGTGTTGTAGGTTCCTCAGGTCCTCACTTTAACATGATCTGCTTGTTTTCAGTGAAACTGGAGCAGCGTGAGCGAGATACTGATCCTGGTGAGTGACCTGTATCTCTCTCTCACACACACACACACACACACACACACACTCACACACTCTCTCACACACACTCTCTCACACACACACTCTCACACACACACACACACACTCTCTCACACACACACACTCACACACTCTCTCACACACACACCGTGTGTGTCTCTGGTTCTGTTCCTGCAGATTTGACAGAGTCTTTGCTTGAGAATCCTGTGAAGTGAGTCTGTAGTATTTGACTCTTTGCCAGTGATTTCTCTGTATTTTTCCGTCGGGATTTCATCCTGTTTTTCTCTCGTCAGGCCGGCGGAGGAGACTCTCGGTGTCAGCGGCCTCAGTGACGTGAAGGACATTCTGTGTGAGTTAATAAGGGATGGTGCTTTATCCCCATCAGCGCTGGATCTGTCCCGATCAGGAACGCTTCATCTGAGCAGGTCAGCTTCACAAATGAGCTCACTAGGATGGTTAAAGCAACCTAATACAGCTTTGTAGTAGTTAGAGCACGTATTATTCCCTCTTTTGGTGTTAGTCAACGTTTCTTTCATCAAAAACAGTCATAGTCGAGTTATTCATGAGCAGTTTTTGCTCAGATGCAATGTTGATTTAGTATGATATTCTACTTTTTATTAATATTTTGTATTAAGTTTATATTTTTCCATTGTCTTTTTAATTTTAGTTAACATTTTATTAGTTTTGTAGTTTTTCTTATATGGTTTTTATTAATTTTGTTTAAGTTTGAGTTATTTTAGTAACCAAAATGAGAAATGTTTCCAATAACTAAAATAAAATATACAAAACTTAAAATTATTTTATTTTGGTTAGTTGCCATTTTATTAATATTTTGAATGAGTTTTTATTTTTCCATTTTCTTTCTAATTTTAGTTAACTTTTTATTGATTTGTTGTTGTTGTTTGTGTGTGTGTGTGTTTAAAAAATTTTTTTTTAATTAATTTATTGTTTAATTTTTAGTATTAGTTATTTTTGTTTGGTTGAAAGCCTAAAATAACTAAAACTAAAAATGAAATAAAAATTCATAAAAACTATATAGACTTTAAAAAAACATACACAGCTAATTAATAAAAGGTTTAATAAAATTAAAAAGAAAATGGACAAATAAACCCTAACTCAAAATATTAATAAAATGTACTGTAGTGATTGTATTAAATTTATTGTTATTTTAAAAATTCATAAAAACTATATAGACTTTAAAAAACACACAGATAATGGATTAAATGTTTAATAAAATTAAAAAGACAATGGAAAAATAAACCCTAACTCAAAATATTAATAAAATATACTGTAATAATTTTACAGTACATACACACACTCTCTCTCTCGCTCTCTCTCTCTCTCTCTCTCTCTCTCTCTCTCACACACACACACACACACACACACAACAAATTATTAAAATGCTAACTAAAATTTAAAAGAAAATGGAAAAATAAAAATTATTTTTTAACAAAAAAATCTCAATTTTAATAAAATAAAATAAAGTATAAGTTTTATTTTATTTCAGTCAGTGAAAATGATTTTAATAGTTTTAGTCACCTGTACTTACCCTGTTTGGATAAAAGAGTCTGACTGATGAACGGTCTGAATCTAAACGATCTGTTATGATTGGCTAAGTAGGTCAGTGAGAGATGCATGACATATTTATTGATTGATTTGATTGGTCTGCGTGTGTGTGGTGGGCGGCAGGTCAGAGGTCAAGCCGAGCGGAGCCATGATGGAGGAGGAGCGCAGGGATCTGAGGATGTGGATGAGGAGGAAACAGAGAGAACGACTGATAGAGTACAGAAAACAGAGAGAAGAGAAGAGAGAGAGAGAGCGCAGACCCTTCATCTCTCCAGTTAAACATGTGAGACGCTGCAGATCAAACCTCTGTCAAACTGTTTGCTTTTGATTGTAATTATTCTCAGAATCAGTTTTCTTCTTCTTTCGTCTTTCTTCATGTTGAGAAAAACCTGTTTGTGTTGGGTTATAGATTAGGATTCTCAATCGTGTATTTACAGTTGCTAATATGTGACCCTGGAGCACAAAACCAGTCATAAGGGTACATTTTTTTCAATTGAGATTTATACATCATCTAAAAGCTGAATAAATAATCTTTCCATTGATGTATGGTTTGTTAGGATAGGACAATATTTGGTCGAGATACAACTATTTGAAAATCTGGAATCTGAGGGTGCAAAAAAATCTAAAAATTGAGAAAATCATCTTTAAAGTTGTCCAAATGAAGTTCTTAGCAATGCATATTACTAATCAAACATTTAGTTTTGATATATTTATGGCAGGAGATTTACAAAATATCTTCATGGAACATGATCTTTACTTAATATCCTAATGATTTTTGGCATAAAAGAGAAATGTATAATTGTGACCCATACAATGTATTGTTGGCTATTGCTACAAATATCCCCCAGCGACTTTGTGCTGCAGGCTCACATATTTATTTCCACATTGATTATATGAGTAATTGCATTTTTATAAATACATAAACTACTGTTTAAAAGTCTGGAGTCGGTAAGATTTAGTTCTATACTAAAAAACTATTGGTGAAACATCATTTTATGTTTATTTTATTTGTTTAGTTAACAGGGTACATTGTACATTAATAAAACAATTGCATAGCACAATCCATAAAACAGTCTGTTAATAAAAACAAATAAGGTCAATCAAAAACAATATCTGTCTAGCTTTTTCCACACGGATGCACATTATAAGTGAAGCTTGAAGTTTTAGTTTTACTCAAGCCTGTTAGTAACTTTATTCTTCTGAATAATTCATTCCCGCAGCAGAATCCAACCTCTGTAGATCTGGCAGCCAGCAGGAGAACCAAAGAAGAGCGCGCCAGGTCTGATTGTGTGTTCACAGTGCGTGTGCTAAACTAACATACACTGCTTTTCACGCATGTTTCATGTGATCCGTGTGTGTTTCAGGCTGCTTCTTCAGGAGCATCATGAACAGAGAGCGCGTGACGCCTGCGGTCTGATCTCGGAGCTGCTCACCGCACCCATCAACCTTCCCACAAACCCACAGCAGAGCCTCAGGTGCATTCTGGGACTGCCGCCTCTGTGCAGGCTGCAGTTGTTGTTTTTGATGCAGATCCAGTGCTTTGTTTGGAGAAATCCATGCTAAATGTCCTGCGCTGTGTTTCAGGATCACCGGGAAAAATAAGCAGATTCCCAGGAGTCCGAGCGGACCACAGGCTTCTCTGGGGAAAACCGTCGTGCTTCAGAGGAAGTCTGCAGCGAAAACACACGGCTCTTTGAGCGGCAGACTCGGCTTGCACAGACCAGGTTCATATTTGTGTCATTATTTCATGTATAAATGTGACCCGTGCTTGCAAAATGAGTCGGAACGAGCACATTTTCAAAAATGTGACCCTAGAGCACAAAACCAGTCATAAGGGTCCATTTTTTTAAATTGAGATTTATGCATCATCTGAAAGCTGAATAAATAAGGTTTCCATTGATGTATGGTTTGTTAGGATAGAACAATATTTAAAAAATCTGGAATCTGAGGGTGCAAAAAAATCTAAATATTGAGAAAATCATCTTTAAAGTTGTCCAAATGAAGTTCTTAGCAATGCATATTACTAATCAAACATTAAGTTTTGATATATTTACTGTAGGAAATGTACAAAATATCTTCAAGGAACATGATCTTTACTTAATATCCTAATGATTTTTGGCATAAAAGAAAAATCTATAATTTTGACACATACAATGTATTGTTGGCTATTGCTACAAATATCCCCCAGCGACTTAACACTGCTTTTGTGCTGCAGGGTCACAAATGAGTTCTATTTATTTCCATGTTCTCCATTAAAATACCTTCAAAATAATATATGACTTGTTGGAATCAACAAAAAATGACTGAGCTACATATTTTGGAGAAAAATCAAGTCAAATTTTCTGAAGATTCCAAAGCAAAATCACTGAGCAAGGTTGCATATGTTCCTCCAGTTCATTACTAATATTATTAATCACAATATAGCAATTTTTTTTATCTTTGTTATTAAAAATAAGAACAAAGATGCAAATAAACAGTAGATTAATCAAGAGCAGCGAGTGATTCCGTCTTTTCTATTAATGTATGATTAACATTGAGACAGATCTATATTAAGACCTACTGTAATGCATGGATCTAATATAATGTCACACATCAGATTTTTCCCCAAACATTCACTAAACGTTCATGTGAGACATAACAGATTATGTTTGTGTGAATCTCGCCAAGACATAGTTAGCAATAATGTACTTTATAGGGAGATCGCACACTCTCGAAGAGCTTTGCAAATGTCAGTCAGCGCAATAGTTTTGTTTTCATCATGGGTTTGAAAATCATATTTCTCTGGTTGGGACTCATCGAGAATTCGATATGAATATTCACAAAGCTGCAATGCTACACTTTGCAACAATAGACCTTAGGGCTGTCAAAATGACTGAAAAACTAAATTTGAATTTTCCACTTAAATATCAAAATATAAGGCATAATTTCAGTTAGGGGGAAAAAAACTTTTGGCCACTGAAGATTCCAAAGCAAAATCACTGAGCAATGTTGCATATGTTCCTCCAGTTCATTACTAATATTATTAATCACAATATAGCAATTTTTTTTATCTTTGTTATTAAAAATAAGAACAAAGATGCAAATAAACAGTAGATTAATCAAGAGCAGCGAGTGATTCCGTCTTTTCTATTAATGTATGATTAACATTGAGACAGATCTATATTAAGACCTACTGTAATGCATGGATCTAATATAATGTCACACATCAGATTTTTCCCCAAACATTCACTAAACGTTCATGTGAGACATAACAGATTATGTTTGTGTGAATCTCGCCAAGACATAGTTAGCAATAATGTACTTTATAAGGAGATCGCACTCTCTCGAAGAGCTTTGCAAATGTCAGTCAGCGCAATAGTTTTGTTTTCATCATGGGTTTGAAAATCATATTTCTCTGGTTGGGACTCATCGAGAATTCGATATGAATATTCACAAAGCTGCAATGCTACACTTTGCAACAATAGACCTTAGGGCTGTCAAAATGACTGAAAAACTAAATTTGAATTTTCCACTTAAATATCAAAATATAAGGCATAATTTCAGTTAGGGGGAAAAAAACTTTTGGCCACAAGAGGACGCATCGAGCAAAATATTATGCAAGTTTTTTCAAAGCGTAATAAAATAACACGACTATCTTTGGAAAAAAGTGCATAATGTTTAAAATAACGTTTATAAACCATATATAATTAATAAAGTTGCTTAAACAATTAGAAAAAAAACCAGCACCATGCATGTATGTATAGTTTAATACAAAGGACCGAAAACCAATGACAAAGAGTAGGCTACTTTCTTCATTTAAAAACATGAGATGCAGTGGGATGGGGAAACCACCATAAAGTCTCGAGACATGTTTTTTAAAAGTTGAACTTGCATTAATTTTACATGGCTTTCTAAACATGCGTATCTCTTGTGCGAGACGCGAGTGCAACGCTGATAGATGTCCCTCTAGAAAATGTGATAAATATCCATTCTGTGTGAACAGTTTCGCCGTAAACAACATCTTCGCCACACTGATGCTCTCGTTTTCCGCAATATATTGAATGAACAACGTAGCAGTGCCGCATCTAGTGGGTTCAACTGGATAGGCGTACAAAAGCATTAAAATGCAATGACACTTACATCGTCGTCGCATTTCGTGCGCCACTGATAAGGCTGCCTGACGGCTGATGCAAAAACGTGGATTTTTTTTTAAACATTTGACGAATATTCGAAATTTTATTTTTGACAGCCCTAATAGAGCTATAACTTGTGATGAGAAGCAGAAGCGAGTGGAGAAAAAGGTACTCCTCTCATCCTCTCAGAAAATAAAGATAATTTCAGATGTTTAATTACTGTTTAGAGCATTGGGATCGCTAGAAGAGGGCTTGATTAATTGATTAACTAAAAAACCTCAAATTAGACCAAAACTGACATTTTTCACTTCTTTTGCCTGTAGCTCAAAATTAGACCGTGTGCATTCACACTCATTCTGCCAGCACGGCTCACAGATGTTGATCATTTGAGTATGGTTTCAATCCCTCGTTGCTGTGTTTCAGCCAGCGCTCTTCCAGCCGATCGGTTGTCCAGGGTGACTCGCCGCGGGATGCTGTCCGACCCGAAGTCCAGACAAGACACGAAGACCGTTCATCAGAGTAAGGACAGTTTGGACATGTTTTTGTAAAAATATCAGAATCTGAATGAGATTTATTACCAAGTGTGCTTACACGCACACAAGGAGTTTGTCTTAGTGAAACCAGGGTTATTATAGATGACTAAAACTGAAACTAAAAGCATAAAAAACTGGGTACTTGAAATAATTTTTAACTTAAAAATAAAATATATTAAAAAACTTATTTAATTTCAGCTAGTTGCTGAGGCAGCATTTTTCATTTTAATTTGGTTTAACTTGACGTTGACGAATTTAATTAATAAGTCTATATATATGTATATATATATTAGTGCTGTCAAACGATTAATCACGATTAATTGCATTCAAAAAAGTTTTCATTTACATAATATATGTGTGTGTACTGTATATTTATTATGTATATATTAATACACACACACACATACAGTATATATTTAGAAAATATTTACATGTATATATTTATATTCATATAATTTATATTATATATAAATATATTTAATATATAAATGTAACAAATTTTTCTTAAATATATACATGCATGGGTGTGTATTTATATATACATAATAAATATACACAGTACCCACTCATATATTATGTAAACAGAAACGTTTATTTTGGATGCGATTGTTTGACAGCACTAATATATAGCTAGACAAATAGTGTATGTACACAATAAACATGACAACTAAATTTAGATAGAAATATTATGTAAAACAAACAAATAAAAATTGAAAAAAATTACATATATATATATATATATATATATATATTTTAAAAACATGAGATGCAGTGGGATGGGGAAAACACCAAAGTGTCTCGAGACATGTTTTTTAAAAGTTGAACTTGCATTAATTTTATGGCTTTCTAAACATGCGTATCTCTTGTGCGAGACGCGAGTGCAACGCTGATAGATGTCCCTCTGGAAAATGTGATAAATATCCATTCTGTGTGAACAGTTTCGCCGTAAACAACATCTTCGCCACACTGATGCTCTCGTTTTCCGCAATATATTGAATGAACAACGTAGCAGTGCCGCATCTAGTGGGTTCAACTGGATAGGCGTACAAAAGCATTAAAATGCAATGACACTTACATCGTCGTCGCATTTCGTGTGCCACTGATAAGGCTGCCTGACGGCTGATGCAAAAACGTGGATTTTTTTTTAAACATTTGACGAATATTCGAAATTTTATTTTTGACAGCCCTAATAGAGCTATAACTTGTGATGAGAAGCAGAAGCGAGTGGAGAAAAAGGTACTCCTCTCAGAAAACGTACAAATAAAGATAATTTCAGATGTTTAATTACTGTTTAGAGCATTGGGATCGCTAGAAGAGGGCTTGATTAACTAATTTTTGTGAAAACCTCAAATTAGACCAAAACTGACATTTTTCACTTCTTTTGCCTGTAGCTCAAAATTAGACCGTGTGCATTCACACTCATTCTGCCAGCACGGCTCACAGATGTTGATCATTTGAGTATGGTTTCAATCCCTCGTTGCTGTGTTTCAGCCAGCGCTCTTCCAGCCGATCGGTTGTCCAGGGTGACTCGCCGCGGGATGCTGTCCGACCCGAAGTCCAGACAAGACACGAAGACCGTTCATCAGAGTAAGGACAGTTTGGACATGTTTTTGTAAAAATATCAGAATCTGAATGAGATTTATTACCAAGTGTGCTTACACGCACACAAGGAGTTTGTCTTAGTGAAACCAGGGTTATTATAGATGACTAAAACTGAAACTAAAAGCATAAAAAACTGGGTACTTGAAATAATTTTTAACTTAAAAATAAAATATATTAAAAAACTTATTTAATTTCAGCTAGTTGCTGAGGCAGCATTTTTCATTTTAATTTGGTTTAACTTGACGTTGACGAATTTAATTAATAAGTCTATATATATGTATATATATATTAGTGCTGTCAAACGATTAATCACGATTAATTGCATTCAAAAAAGTTTTCATTTACATAATATATGTGTGTGTACTGTATATTTATTATGTATATATTAATACACACACACACATACAGTATATATTTAGAAAATATTTACATGTATATATTTATATTCATATAATTTATATTATATATAAATATATTTAATATATAAATGTAACAAATTTTTCTTAAATATATACATGCATGGGTGTGTATTTATATATACATAATAAATATACTTTTACATGCTTTTTACCCAGGGATGCTAATATGTCAAAGTACAAAACCCGCCTTACTCTGTACTCGAAAGCCCTGTGCACCGATATGTCCAACCATCATTTTATATCCGGCATTTGGGTGACGCTTTAGTACATCTTCTACCAAAGCATCCAGTTCAGCGTCCTCCAGAGTTGAAAACAGGTCGCTTACTCTATGAGAATAAAATAAACCCATTATCAGCCACACAACACAAATATAAACACTAATGTGAAAGCTAAGTAGGTTATAAGGCTAGGCTACTAGGAGCTGCTGCTTACCTTAAACCATGTTGCTCCATCCTATTCCGGATAGTTCTTTCACAGACACCAAACAACTTTGCAATGTTTCCAGCAGTTTGACCCATTGAGAGATACGTTTCAACTGTGCTTATCAGAAGCAAGTACGATGGACGTCCCACAAAGCCAGAGTAATCGAGCAAGCGCTTTAATCAACGATGAACCAATGGTAAGCAAGACCAACCCACCTAATTATCATACATGACAAAGAAATGTTAGAATAAATATGAAAATAAAAAAAATAAAAAATTTAAATAAATAAAGGTAAGAAATAAATACATATTGGAATAAATAAATATAAAAATAAATGAATCCATAAATAAATAAATATAAAATAAATGGGAAAATAAATAAATAAAAGAATAAAATAAATTAAAAAGAAAAGCAGAAAATGATAAATTAAGGGGGAAAAAATTTAAAAAAAAAGAATTTTATTAAAAATGAATCATATTTATTTTATCAAGTCGTTTATTCATTTATTTATTATCCTATTATCACATGTATTTATCTATTTATCTATTTCTTAATTAAAATGTGTATTTATTCATTCATTCATTCATTCATTCATTCATTCATTCATTTATTCATTTTTAATTTCTGCAGGTTTGGTCCTCCATACAGAAATAGCATATTAGTAGTAGCGTTTCTAATACAATTATTAATTTTTACTTTAATTTTATAATGATTAATTATTGTGTATGAGTAAATGAAGCAATAACCCCCGTGGAGCCGTGGTTTACAGTGAGTTTGTAACCGCTAAGTGGCGTTGTTAGACACGACGTGAAGCGGAGCTAGCTGTTATAAATTCACTCGCGCCGGTGTCTTTTGCAGCTTCTCGTACATGACGCGGTGCAGTCATGAGCTGCTCGTTCACATTTAATAAATGCTTCTACAAACAAAGCTTCATCTGCAGATGTGGTCTTGTTTAGGGGTGTTTGTGCATACGCACATCTGTCTGCTGAGGGATTGTGTTTCTCAGCAATAGTGTGCAGCCTTACTTTACAGAGAACAGAAGGTCAGGGAACAATCTCCATACAACGTCTTTGTGCATTTTTCTTGTATTCTACTATTTATTCGGGTTTTTTAAGGTATCTAATATCTTGATACTTAATTTCCATGATCTAAATATTCTTAAAAATGTAAAGCATAATTATAAAAAAATATAATAGCTTTTTTTTTTTTTTTAGATAATAATAAATTTATAATACACACTGTAAATAATAATTGAGAGAACATTTTTAATAATAACAATAATGGTGATACTAATTATTATAAAATAAGTACGCGTTAATATTAGTAATGACAACAATAAACATTTTTAAATAAAAAATTTAAAATAAAATATAAATGTTGCTGTAATAAATCATATTACAGCATGTTCTTGATTCGTGAGGTTTTGTGAGGAAACAAGTAAACACTAATAATAATAAAATATTTCAGCAATATTAAACATTAACAATAATATTTATAATTATTCTTATTACAATTATTATTAGTGCTTTCAAACGAGTAATCGCATGCAAAATAAACGTTTTTGTTTACATAATATATGTGCACTGTGTATATTTATTATGTATATATAAGCACACACACATACAGTAAATATTTAGAAGATATTTACTGTGTTTTATTTACAAAAAAAAAGGACGTGAGAGTATTGTAGGTCGCGATGACGTCGCTTAGGAGGGACTTTTATTTTGACTCCCGGAAGTGGAGTCCCGGAAGTGTGTGTTGTTGTTGTGATGGCTGATCGCGGGAGTGATTCTGGTGAGTTTGTGAGTTTAGTTTGTCAGTCGTGGGGTGTTTCTGTCGTGTAGGTGTTCAAAGCGCAGGGCAGCGACTTGCTGAAAGCCTCGGGGCTTTAATGAAGTCCGTCCCAGGCGCCGCGGCTGTTATTATAATAATAATAACCACAGACTCATGCACATGTGATTCTGCTGATTCTTCAATATTAACCGAGAATGGGCTTATTTTTGGCTTCATAGTGACCTAACTGGCCCCGTGTTTTGGCTCTCAGAGGCCCTTCTGCTTTATGAGTGCAGTACGTTGCACCACGTGCTCTGGATCTTTCATAACACTGCAGATTATTATGATTGTGGTATGAAATATATATCAAAGGTGTACTATAGTATTTCCGCTTCCTGTCATCGCTGTAGCGCCGCAGAACTTCGTGTGAAAGTAATTCATAGAAATTGTGATCGAATAATATGAATTCTAGAATTAAACTTATTTTGCCTCTAGATTATTTTCCCCCAAACATTTTTATTTTATTAAAGCCCCCCCCCCTTTTTATTATTATTCATTATGTAATAATAATATTGGAAATAATAACAAAATCTGTAATAATTTCAATACCAGCTATTTTGAAAATTAAATTCTAATTTCCCTTTAAAATATAATTTTTATTTATTTTTGTATTATTTATTATTATTCATTATGTAATAATAATGGAAATAATAACAGAACTTCTGTAATAATTTCAATACCAGCTATTTAAATTTTTTTTATTTTAATTTCCCTTTAAAATATATATATATTTTTATTTTATTTATTATTATTATTCATTATGTAATAATAATAATAATAATAAAGGAAATAACAGAAATATGTAATTTCAATACCAGATATTTTGAAAATTAAATTCTAATTTCCCTTTAAAATATAATTTTTATTTATTTTTGTATTATTTATTATTATTCATTATGTAATAATAATAATAATAATAAAGGAAATAACAGAAATATGTAATTTCAATACCAGATATTTTGAAAATTAAATTCTAATTTCCCTTTAAAATATAATTTTTATTTATTTTTGTATTATTTATTATTATTCATTATGTAATAATAATGGAAATAATAACAGAAAATCTGTAATAATTTCAATAGCAGGTATTTTGAAAATTAGATTCTAATCTCCCTTTAAAATATGATTATTTATCATGATTAATTGTATTATTATTATAGCTTCTCGTAGTAATACTGCTGCTGATATTGAATGTTTGGTCTGATCGCAGGGGACTCCAGTAGCGATGCAGACGTCTCTTCTGTCATGGGCTTCTCTGGGTTTGGTGAGTGTTTCTGCAGCACAAGCGGTTAACTGTGTGTGTTTTCAGCGTCACATGTTGAGTTTGAATCCTGTTTGTTTCGTGCTCAGGGAAGAAAGCTCGAACCTTTGACCTGGAGGCCATGTTTGAGCAGACGAGGAGGACGGCCATCGAGAGGAGCCAGCGTGTCTTAGGTCATTACTCTATTATCTCACCTCTAGTCTGTCAGTCAGTTTGAAGAATTCTGTTGACTTTGAGTGTTGCTGTCACAGAGGAGCGCGAGAAACAGGACGCCGAGGCCAGCAGCGGCGAGCCGTCAGCATCAGCGTCCAGGTACAGTCACGAGATCCGTCGTCATCTGTTTCTGTTGCAAGCGTAAACAATAAACATCAACAATTAAATATAGGGATGCACCGATACCACTTTGTCCAGTACTCGCCCGATACCGCTACTTTTATTTTTGGTACTTGTCGATACCGATACCGATATTTTTATTGCATTTGTAAATGTTTTAAATATTGGGTAGAGAAACCAAAAGAGTATGTATAATGTTAGTTGGTTAGCTTCATTTATCCAATAGATACAAATCAAACCAAATTTATTCAGACACCTTCAACATTTCTCACATTATCACAGTTTATTCACTATAGTTTAGAAAATAGTAATAAAATATGACAAGAACTCAATTCGGTCAGAACAAATTCAGCTTGATAATGTTAGATAACTTTGATAGAAAGGTATGTAATAGATTACAATAAACCAAAAATTATTCAGACAGCTGTCAATATTTACACAACTATCAATACTTTAGTCTTAATGACAGCATATAGTCTCCTGGGCATGCTGTCAACCAGGTTCATGAAAACCTCAGCTTAAATTTTTTCCCAGACTCGGTCTGAATAATTTTTGGTCCCAAATGTGTATCAGTTTTACTGGTAGTCCACTGTATGAAGAATTTTTGGGTATAATATATCACAGTTTAGTTTATTTTGCTATCCTCACTTACATAAATGAACTATAGTGTCCTGCACCCAACTAGTAAAACAATATAAAAAATGATATCTGGTCTCTGAATAATTTTTGGTTTGATTGTATATCCTTCGGTTATTTTCACACTTAATTATGCTTAATTAAGTTTTTGTTACTTTCACTGTTCATTGTTTTGCTCTATGGTACATCATCTTTAATTTAACAGCATTAGAGCTGCACCCAGTAATTGCATTACTCTCAGACCCTTGGTGCATACAGATAACAGAAATACAGATAGGTACAGATTATATACAAAATACAAAATACAACTATACAAATATACAAATAAGGTCAAATGTAAAAAAATATATATATATAAAGCACAAGGCATATGGCAGATAGAGTGCAAACCAGTAAAGTAAACAACAGTGCAGATATAATGATTGTAGTGCAAAAAACAATGATTTGTAGTGCAAAAGAGCTTATTCAAACTGATTGATTAAAGTGACAGTGTGTGTGTGTGTGTGTGTATTAGGAAGGGGGGAGTGGGAGAGTCCGTCAGAGTTCAGAGGTGCGTGGGGCAAAAGAGGGGAGGGGGGGCAAGGTCGGGAGGAAGTTCAGCTTCCTGACAGCCTTATGGATGAAGCTGTCCTTCAGTCTGCTGGTCCTGGCCTGGAGACTCCGCAGTCTCCTCCCTGATGGCAGCAGACTGAAGAAGCTGTGTGTCGGGTGGGTGGGATCACCTGCAATGCAGAGGGCTTTGCGGGTGAGACGGGTGTTGTAAATGTCCTGGCCATCTTGGATCTTTAAGTACTGTAATCACGCGCTTTGTTGTAATAATGCAGACAACCACTCGTTATAAATCTCCTAACTGTGATATTTTCAGAAATAGAAGTCGCGTTTTTTCATCTGAAACGTGCTGCGATTTATATTCCAAAGCCACTCATATAATGCTGAAACACTCAAGCAAGCAAAACACACGCAACGCGTGCAGATATTTGTACTGATGCAGAATGAGAGGACAGTAGTACAGCCTAGCGCATTTCACACAAGCTGCTAGATTCACTTTCGCCACAAAGGTTAAAAATAAATTATGTTTATAGTGAATGCCCCTATGAATGGTTTTATTTTTACGATTTCGTTTTAATCCAAATGATGCGTGCGCTAAGTGAGTGAACATCAAAGATCACACAACAGAAGTGCGCGCACGCTCTCTCTCTCTCTCTCGCTCTCTCTCTCCCGTTAAGTAACTTGTGCATTGTTTTACTTGTTTTTGACATACCGACCGAATTACAAACTTTCCAGTGATGTCTGTGGGAAAGATATATTCACTCGACAAGCTCGCGCATCTGCGCCGCTGCACGCTCAATCCACTCAGCCGCTTTGTTTATCAGCTCACGCACATCAGCAATACAGGCGTTAATACTGAATGTTTAACATTATATTCATTGCATACATATACTTCGTAGTAGACATCCTTAACTCCTTTCTGCTGTCTGTTGTTCTGCTGTCAGTGTTTCTTTGTCTGAATATGGCGCTTATCACATGCTGTGTGGTATCGGCGTTTGGTATCGGGGCATTTTAACGAGTACGAGTGCGAGTACAGGAGACCAGTATCGGTATCGGTGCATCCCTAATTAAATACAACCAAGCGGCAACCTCCCGCTCTCTCTTGTTTTTGACATACCGACCGAATTACAAACTTTCCAGTGATGTCTGTGGGAAAGATATATTCACTCGACAAGCTCGCGCATCTGCGCCGCTGCACGCTCAATCCACTCAGCCGCTTTGTTTATCAGCTCACGCACATCAGCAATACAGGCGTTAATACTGAATGTTTAACATTATATTCATTGCATACATATACTTCGTAGTAGACATCCTTAACTCCTTTCTGCTGTCTGTTGTTCTGCTGTCAGTGTTTCTTTGTCTGAATATGGCACATATCACATGTTGTGATATCAGTATCGGTGCATCCCTAATTTAAAGAGACAGGCACGAAAAACAGCATGTTTCTGCTTCCACTCAAAATGGGCATTTTCAAAATGATATAATAAATGATCTGTGGGGTATTTTGAGCTGAAACTTCACAGACACATTCTGGGGACACCAGAGATTTATATTACATAATCGGCGTTTGGTATCGGGGCATTTTAACGAGTACGAGTGCGAGTACAGGAGACCAGTATCGGTATCGGTGCATCCCTAATTAAATACAACCAAGCGGCAACCTCCCGCTCTCTCTCGTGAAGCCAACATGGAAGTGACTTAAACTGTAATTCATCGACTGGCCGCTAGAGGCTGGCTGCAAAAGAGACTCAGTCCCATAGACTCCCCATGTTAAAACGCCCAACTTTACAACAGAAATAAATGTGTTTACAGCCTGGTTCAAAAAGTGCTTTTGGTCTATATAGCTAATTTTGCCCTTCATGACAACTGTGAGGGGGGTGAATTTTTTTATAACTCATCCGTTTAAATTATATTAAGCCTTAAAGTTCTGCATAATTAAGGGCGTTGCCACTTGAGTGACAGGTGGATTGCCGCTCCTGACACTGCTGACGCGCTAGGTGGGTGTGGCTTCAGCAACTAGCTCCCGCCTCTTTGCCCATCTTTAATTATCCGGGAGTGACGCGTGGTGACGCTCTGCCAAGATGGCGAAGGCCGGCTCCGCCTACTTTAGGCTTCAAAAACGCTCTTCGGAAACCTACAAGTGACGTCACGGACACTACGCCAAGTTTTTTTTACAGTCTGTGAATACAACATTGGATGACCGTATGAATGCAAAAATAATATAGGAAGGCAATAAAGAAAAAAAAGATTAAATCAATCTGGCACTTTGTGTTCTAATTCTGTTCTTTAAAAAAAACTTGCCCCTCTTAGACTTGCACTCTATTCGTTTACTAGCTGCTTGTCTTCTTTAAAAAAAAAACTAACACTAGCTTCTCTATTCTTTTTGTATTCTATCTATTTGTTTTCTTTTTATTTATTATACGGTTGTGACCTGGAGCACAAAACCAGTCATAAGGGTCCATTTTTTGAAATTGAGATTTATACTAGTGCTGGGTGGTATGACCAAACATTTATATCACGGTATTTTTCTAAATTATACCAGTTTCATGGTACATGACGGTATTTTTTTTTCATGCATGACCAGGTGTTAACCATATCTTCTACTGATTGAGAGGAAATACTGCAGTATATTGACTTAGAATGCCCTATTTTACTGTCATGATGAGTGAATATTGTCAGAAAATACCACACTAAATAGTGACTAAACAACCCCTTTTAATACATGTTAACCAGGAGTCACTCTCATTTATAATCACAGCATCGTCTGATAAACTCAGCATGCATCTACACTAAAGAGCGGCTATGCGGTTGTGTTGACTGCGTTAAGCTAACTGAGTCTTGTTATAGCACTTGTGTATCATTGCTCTTTTGTTGATTTTGATTGCTTTGTCCTCATTTATACTGATGTCTACTAAATGTCTAAATGTAAATACATAAAACAAAAAGTATAGAGAATTACTGTGCATTCAGCAGATCCTAATACAGTTTCACAACTTTGACACTCTTTTTTAGTGTTGATATTTTTTAGTGTTATAATTAAGTAGTTAAAGTCGCAAAGAAAATTATGTAATTTGGGTAACTTTAAAGAAAATGTACATTTGTGAATATAATATTTTCCCGATAAAATAAATACATTTCCTATATATTCTGTTATGTTTACGATGAGAAAAATAAATCCATGTCTAAATTGGCATATTATTGAAAAATTGGCGTTTGGAAAAAAAGATGATCAATAGACTCAATACAGAAATTACAATTCAAATGAGGATTAGCAGATTTGGATTTAATCTCATTAGTGGGGTATATATTATGCACAATTTTTAAATGTAATTCTTTTACTTTGTTGGGGACAGAATTTATAAAGTAAGAGCCATGCTTTTTTCCAATTAATCTTATTTTATAAATCCCCTCGGAGTAATTATTTTCCTGAACTGAAACACATTTCTTATCATTTTATTACTACATTTTGGGTCGTAAATACACGTGTCTTCATCCAAACAATTCTGCTCCCTTTTAACAATCACTATTTCATTAAGTGAACGAGCATTTAGTATAGCTTTAGCCATTGTAAGAAATTCCTTATGAAGCACAGGGAAATGTGTTGAAACATGAAATCACAGTAAGAGTAAACATTCCCTTGTGGATCTAGTATATCACAAAGATAATCCGTAGCTTTTTCATGCCAGTTCTTAAGAGAAATCGACTTGTTCCGTCATCATGTGTTTGTGTGAACAGGAAGCAGGACTCTGATGTCATCGGTCCTCCACTTCCTCCTGCGCTCGGCGTTCAGACGGATGATGATGAGGATGAGGATGATGAGGAAGATGATGATGATGATGTGGTCGGGCCACCGCTGCCGCCTGGATACAAGCACAGCACCGCTGACGATGATGATGATGATGAGGATGATGATATGACTGATGAGGAAGATGACGTGAGTGTATTTTCATCTTTTAGTCCCATATTTACAACTGCAGATCAGATCTAATGTTTACCTATTTACTAATGTTTACATGCAACTTGAAATTACGTCATTTTATCTGTTTTCATCTATGTTATCTATATGTGACCCCGGACCACAAAACCAGTCATAAGGGTCAATTTTATGAAACTGAGATTTATACATCATCTGAAAACTGAATAAATAAGCTTTCCATTGATGTATGGTTTGTTAGGATAGGACCGTGTGTGTGTGTGTGTGAGAAAGAGAGAGTGTGAGAAAGAGAGAGTGTGAGTGAGAGTGTGAGTGTGTGTGTGTGATTGTGTGAGAGTGTGTGTGAGAGAGTGTG